ACAAGCATAAAATTTATTTCCTAATGGTGTCATCGCTTAAAATGCGACATTTGAATTGAAATGCTTGACATTTATAAATGTCACTCAATATTTACATATATATTAAAATTTTCATTTTATTACGATATTAATTAAGATATAGTTAAAATAAAGAATAAAATTTTAATAAATCATAAGTTTTTTGTAGTTTCGCTACCTTATTACACAACTGCCAACGCTTTTTTGTTGATGCTAATATAAATTTGTTTGTCTGTTGCGTCAAAAAACTCCGTGGGGTATTTTTGGGCTACTACTTTATTTTCTTAGTTCTATTTATTTCTGTACTGATAACTTACCCTCACTTTGCTCGGGTTCGTCCCTAGGTAAGTTTTAACGGTTAGTATGGAATAGGAAGACTATATATTATATGCTATATAGCTTATAGCCTTTCTCAATAAACAGGCTATCTAATGTTAAAATAATTTTTCAAATCGGATTAGTAGTTCCTGAGATTAGCGCGTTCAAACAAAAAAACTTTGCCTCTTTATTATAATATTAGTATAGAAACATGGATAAATTTTAAATTGCTATGAAAATTTTCTGACTCAATATCTTCATATAGGATCATAGAGAGGGAAAGTAGCGAGATAACTCACTATATTCTTTACATCCTTGAATTCCTTTTATTGTTCTCATATATTACCGAAAAAAAAGTTAAAAACCTAAAAAATACCTACTGTTTAATGTCTATTTCAGTAATATTATTGTATAGAGATCGTGGTCACCCCAACGAATGCTAATCTTACAGGGACGACCCTTAGCTATTGTTTACAGTTGAGCGGTGAGTCGTCACAAAATAATTAGCGGGGGATGGTACCCTTGCGGATTAGTTTAGTGTGAAGATGCTTTAAATTATTGGATAGGTGTAGTGTGATCTTATTAATATTTACTGTCTGAAAAACTGCTACTTTTAAATGTAGTTGTTTAATAATAACTCTTATAATTTAGTTTTTGCACGTATGTATGTATGTATGTATTACTATTATTACATACTACTTTTAAAAATGTTTGAAATTTTATGATTTAATGAAAATGAAAGTTAAATGAAATGAAATATACGTATGTTCAAATATCTATACTAATATTAATAAATTTTTGTAATTGCCAGTCGGATAAAAAAATCCATTTGTATTTTATACTATACTAGCGCCTGACCCTCGTTTTGATCTGGTTCGTCTCTAAGTCGATGAACTTCACCCTCTTAAGGGATGATTTCCGGGATAAAAACGAGGATAAAACCGGATAAAAACTGTCCTTCCGAGGGTCTCAAACTATCTTCTTAACAATTTCATCAAAATTGGTCAAGTAGTTTCAGAGCTTATTCGGTACAAACAAACAAAAAAAAATCTACTTTTATTTAGTATAGATATATAATTATTGAGAAAATCTAGGCTATATAAAATAATGCTTCGATCCTTAAAGCGGAGTAATTCTACAATATACATACATACTCGTAAACTATGCAAGTGAAACCTCAGTCAAAATTAAATGTATGACAATCATACGAGCATAAGCATGCTAGTTAAAAACTAAAAGCCATTCTTTCAACTAACAAGCCTTTAACTTTGGGTAAGTAATCTATAAATATAATAAAATTGTAACTAAGCCGAATCTGTACATTAAATATTTTTTGGAAAATCTAATTAAAATAGACATTATTATCGATACAGAGCCCGAATCTATAGTTTTTAGAATATTTGTCTGTTTGTTTGTCGGTATGTTTGTCTGTCTGTTACCGCATCACGAGAAAACCACTGGACAGATTTTGATGAAATTTGGTATGATGATAGCTGGTTATCCAGGTCAACATATAGGATTACTAATTTTAACTTTTTACCGCAGGAAAATATCTCATTTCTGAGAAAAAATACAAAAACTGCATTGTAAGAGTATACTAATATGTAAAACCTAAGAATCTGGTTTTTGGTCATCTGAACGCGGGCGGAGCCGCGGGCAATGCTAGTTAAAAACTAAAAGTCATTCTTTCAACTAACAAGCCTTTAACTTTGGGTAAGTAATATTTGTCATATTATTTAATTATAATATTTAATTTACAACCAATTTTTCATAAAGATCCGATTATTCTTATGCACCAAATAAAACATAAGCTTATTTCAATGAAGCGCTAAACTCACAATTATGTTTATGGTTAACACGAAATTACTTTCAATATAATATGTGAAAAATCACAGTGGATTTTAAAGGGTATAATACGCGTTTATGGTTTATCAATTCGTATTCCCACCTCTCTTTATGGTATGTTGTTTATATTTTATATCATGCAATATTTTTGTACGCGGTTTTGTCTGCGTAATTTGTTTTTTAAACTGTTCTACAGAAGTCTAAGTAACATTTTATATAAACATATCATAAAATTCTCAGTCGAATCTGTACATTCAATATTTTTTGGAAAATCTTATTGAAATAGTCATTATTATCGTTACAGAGACCAAATCTATAGTTTTTAGAATTTTTGTCTTGTTATCTGTCTGGAAATGCATCACGAGAAAACCGCTGGACGGATTTTGATAAAATTTGGTATGATGATAGCTGGTTATCCGTGTCAACATATACGATAATTTTGCCTGCGGGAAAAATATCTCATCTCTTAGAAATATATACCTACTAAACGTTAATAAAATTATATTCGTTTCCATGCATTAGTTGAATATAAGATCTTTTTTGTGAATTCGAAATGTAATAAATACGTAAATTTTAATTTGTCGAGGTAATAAGCGAAATAAACAGTAATCGGTAAATGAAGTAAACAAATTAAATTACTAGACTCATTATAACTATACTAATTAACATATCACAGAAACACAGAAGCTAAAATCATTTTCCTTATTATCGAATAGGTATATGTAAAAAGTAGATACCTAATATTAGCGCTTTAACGTCCTACTGCTGGGCATGGTGATGCCCATGGGCTTCCCATCAACTCAAAGGGAACGAAGTCATATTCAACCATGCTGGTCAAATGTGATTGATAGACTTGACAAGGTTTTGGACGGTTTCCTCACAATTTTTTTGAATCTTTAAGCAAGTGGTAAACGTGAAGAAAATGCCCCATGAAAATGTTACAGTACCACAGGTATGAGTTTGAAACGAAAGCCTCTTCACTTGACTTTCCAATCCACCGCTGCCCTTATATATTATTATTATTAATGTTGGGTGTGGTGCCGAGGTCGGCCCTAGCTACGTCGACCAGTTTTGGTCCATTGTAGCTCCCTTTATAGTGAGTTCAAAGTTCTCCGCTTAGTACTGTTGACTCCAGGAACTTCCAGATCCTGCCCTTATAACGTACCTATGTAACTAATATAATATTGATAAAAATTCGACTAAATCAAATATAATTCCGTAAGCTGTGCATTCATCCATTTTCACATCAAGACAAAAAAAACGAAGCCTTAAAATAAAATTAATAACAAAGTCACCGCCTACATTAACTACATTTCGGTACAGTGTCGAATCATCGAATTTTTTGTACGCACACCGTTTCGCTAATGTAAATAGTAAAATCACGCTTGCTTCATTACACGGATATTATTTTTTCAACTGGCGCTTAGATGTTAGAAATTATGGGTTCGTATGTTTTTTTTTAACATGAAAATGTCTTTTTTAGTTAACATGTAACTGGTGGTTAATTATCTTAAAAATCTATCCATCTTTGTTAGTTCTGGACCTTAATGGGATAAGGATGAGGGTAGAACTTATTACACGGTGTAAATTTATTTAGCACTTCGGCACGTTTATGTTTCAATCGATTGATGATTTTGCTTGAAATCTTTTATGAGATAAAATTATTATATTTAATTGATTATTTCGGTTTATTATTATTAGCTGTTGCGTATTGCAATTTATTTATATAAATTGAATGGTTTGTTAATTTGTTTAAGTATGTACAAAGTAAAAACATGTGATTTGTAAGAAAATTTGTTCAAACATATATTTACTTAAAGCCCGTGTTGGTTCATTCGTCGAGATTCGCCCACTATTTTTATTGAAAATTCTATTTGTATAATAACTGTATACGTCAAAAAATATATAAATAGAATTAATTTTTTTTTATTAAAAATTAAATTTTGGATATTAAGTTTATTTATATCCCTCAATAGTTATAGGTATAAATAAAAAACTAAAAGTATCCAAAAAAATATTGATAACACTTATCAATAGTTAATAAACAAAAAAATTGGTTGACAAAAAGAGAAGAAAAATGTACTGAACAGTATTGTTTATGCGTATTTAACTAAACTGCAAGTCTCTGAAAGCTTTTTACTGGTTGTTTTGAAATTTTGATATATTTTTCCATGGAGATTACTAGATGCTGCAAAGCATCAACTTTTACACCGTTCAACCGATCGCCAATATAGCTAAGAAAATACATATGGGTAAATACGTATGCGCTCTTAACAAATAATAAATAAATAAATATGTTGGGACATTAACACACATCACCGTTTACTTCCATGGTAAGCTACGAGGCCTGTGTTATGGATACCAGATAGTTGATACACTATACACATATAACTTTAAATACATACATATTATAGGTATATAATATATTATATATAAACACCCATGACTGGAGTACAAACATTCGTGCTCATCACACAAATGAATGCCCCCAGCGGGACTCGAACCCGCAACCGCTGGCACAGCATGTAGGGTCACTACAAATTGAGCCAAACGTGTCGTCGTCTTAATAAATACAAAGAATATTTAATTATTTCGCATTATTATAAATTCTTAATAATTGTTGACAATTCCACCACTATAGTTCGGAAAGAAAAATCTCCAGGCCAAAAGAACTGGCTAAAGGTGCTCAACTGAAACATATTTTGTCTTTTGTCATAAGTTTCTTCGTTTTAACTGAATTGGCGAAGTAATCTGTTCTTAACTGGAACATTTTGAAGCCATTAACAAGATAATTGAATTGAATTGAAGTTACTAAATACCTGAGCATTAGGTGTCAAAGCGGCAGATATAGCATTTTGTTGTGCAGCGGCAGCCGCCGCAGCCGCCATGCTCGCGCCGAGTGGCCCATACGCTGCACCATAATAGCCTCCCATAGCCTGTGTCATGCCTCCTCCGGCCATACCTGAGAATAAAAATCGAATAAAATTATAGAACACTCTATTCTTATGAAGTTTTATAAGCTTTTGCGAATTTAAAAAGGGAGCGACAAGTTGTGGTTTCGAATTCAATTCTGCTGAAGAAATGTCTTTAGAATAGTAAAATATGAAATATATTAGAAATAATATAGTGTAAAGGAAAAATTGTTGTTTATTAGTCTTTCTTTGCTGATCTATGTGATGTTTACACACAGTTCACAATATAGTTATTAAAAAGTTATTAAGGTAAGAAGCGTAACATAAAGAATTAAAGGCACATCATACATATAAGAGATATATAGAAATATGTACTTATTACTGGTGAACACAAAAATAAATCTATCCCACGGGAACCGTACATTTTTCCGGTATAAAAAGTAACCTATGTGGTATGTATTCCAGACTAATCTATTTCTGTGCCAGATTTCATTCAGATTCGTTTAGCCGTTCTGGCGTGATTGAGTAACAAATATCCAAACATCCAAAACTTCCACATTTATAATATTAGTAAGATAATGGGATTAGTTTTAAAAAGATGGAATAAAGTAATATATCCCGAATTAAGAAAAAACCATGACTTTTTTAAAATAATACGAAAGGAGTTAACAAATAAGTAAGATATTAAAATATATATTTTCATACATTAAAAATTATTTCTTAAATAAAATTTCAACAGAATAAACAGAAGCCTAACAAGTAAAATAACTCGGACCAGACCAACTAACCCCAACTAAGGCGTGTTTAATAAACACCTCTAAGGAACTGACCGTCGCTTAATAGAACTCGAGGGCCGTCGGATTATTCAGTACAATGAAATAATTAATTGGTGCTCAAATCGGAGTCCCGGGTATTATGTGTCGGACTCAATAGACGGTCTATTACACTAGGTGTGGAAATCTAACTTTGTGTGCATTTTGGTTTATTAATACGATTTATAGTACAGTAGTTTATTGATTAGAAGGCGAGTTTTGATACAAATTATAGTTGAAAAGAGTTTATCAGAGTTTTTGTTTGTAAAAGTATTAGTACAATTTTCTGAATTATAAATGAATAGTGTAAAGCTTGTTTTCTTAATTTGTTTGGACGCGCTAATATTTGGGAGTATCAATTCGACTTGAAAAATTCTTTTTGTATTTTATAGCCTATGCGTTGATCCTTAGGGGAGTAATTATGCATAAATAAAGCAAGCAAAGCCGTGGGCAAAAGCTAGTACTATATAATATATTGAATTTTGTTAATCAGATATTTAAAAATAGCTTGAAGTCCAATTATATCATTAAAAAGCACATTACCATAGATGTGTACAAAATTAGAATCACGTGTGTAGATATCTATGTACATATGTTCACAATGCTGCTAACATAAAAAGAATGTACGCTAAGACTGTTTAAATTAAAACAATCTGATCATATTTATTACTGTAGGTACCTTTAGAATCATACCACGATTGGCCGAAACTCACTGACTTCACTAGTTATACCGGTGAATATCTAATATTAATTTAATTAATAATATCTAATCAAAAATATAATATTATTTTTTGTATAAAACGGATGTACTATTATAAGAATTAATTAGAAAATGTGATTAATAGTTATCGATTGCTTATACTGTTTTAATTTATAATTTATGGGCAATTCATTGTATATATAATTTATTTTGGATAGTATTCAAATAGATGTTATTTGGTGTCTGAATCCCATCACGGATATTGCATAATCGAAGCCAAGGACTGAATTTTAAATAAAAAAAATATATGGGACACCCTCTTTATAGTGATGCCAGTACAATACATACGCAAATCTTCCTGGAAAGCTTCGAAAGCGGTATTTTATAGCCACTGAGTCGCAAATCGCTTAGCAACGTATTGTGTAATGTGGTAAGCTCGAAGGGACGATGGAGATTTTTTTTTATTATATTTATAATTAAATTCGTTGTCATCTCGCGCTGTATTCTGATGTCTTCATCTGGTATTGGCGTGAATAACGATAAATTTCCTCTGCGGACTTTTTCAAGAGTTTTATTAATTTCCAACGTACGCTCGACGGTGGTTTTTAAATATATTTTTTGCTATAAGAATGACAGCCCTAAATGGTTTGGGTGAGTGCAAATAGATGTCAATATGGATGTGTTGTAGAGTTATTGGCTGTTTATAATCTAAATATATGTATTAAAAATCACTTGACTGACTGACTGACTGAGTCTTGAACACCCATACAATAAGTGTTCCTTTACAGATTTTTTACATGGAAAGAATCTGCTAAAATCTAAATTGACTTGAAATTTTATATTATTACTATTGGACATTATTAATGATTTAGTTTTCAGGATTTTCAGGAATATTAACTACAAAACACAGTCAAAGCAGTGAGAGAGTAATCTTATATATAATTATCCTGCACAAAGTTGTGAATAAATATTTTGCATTGGATTTATAAAGGTGCATATTGACTCTACAAAAAATTAGCTTACGGGTGTTCAATATATATTATCTAAACAAGATAGAGTTTAGATAATGCATAGCTATAAGCTTACAAAATAGGTAGTAAGAAAGTAATGGTAACACACATTTTTCTATAGATTGGTCCTCAAAGGACTGGGTTAAAGACCAAGACAACTTCAAACATCATACTCTTTTGTATCATATCGTAAGAGTTTATTAAAAAATATCTCCATACCTATACTAATAGTAGATAAAACATCAAATTTTCCTTTAAAACTCTAGAAAATCAACAGAAAAAGAATAAAACATGAAAAACCTTAGCAAGCAACAGTAATTTCGTATACCGTCCACCCTAAGTCGCTTACAATGTATCCATTTTCGCCGGTGCCCATTCACTACATAATGACCTCCATACATTATACCTCTATTAATAAATATAGTCAGGTAGAGAGTATTGTGCATATCGATTCAGAAAGGTCGGCCACGGAAAAGGGATTTTCGTTCGGCCCTCGTTTTGTAGATTTGAATGCGTTAAATTTTACGGAAAAGTGGTCATTCTTCGCCCGTCAGGTGTTTTCATATAAGGTGATTTTGCAAGTGTTAAAAGCATTTGGTGGCTATCAATCTTTTGAACTTTGAATTCGATATTTTAGACTTGTAACGTTTTTTATACCATAACGAGTAGTTACTAAGTGTCTGGATGCTACAGTATTTATCTACTACATTGGAAAGTGATAGGTGGTGAATGGAAAATAAACATTTATTTTATGTTTTTGTAAAAGAATACTAATACAGAGCAAATTAAATCAAGAGCAATTAATATCAAATATTCAAACAACACACCTAAAAAAAGTACCCAAGATTATTTGTATAAAGCTTTAAGCTCTTAAGGTCGCCATGCCACATGGAGGTCTGTGTTTTCTGGTTGCGATCATAACGACAACGTATGAATACACACATATGAATCCGTTGGTAAATCTATACATAGTTATAATAAAATTCTAATTGAGTCGAATCTGTACAATAAATATTTTTTTGGAAAATCTTATTGAAATAGTCATTATTATCAATGTAGAGGCCGAATCTATAGTTTTTAGAATTTTGTCTGTCTGTCTGTCGGAAAAATCACTAGAGATTTTGATGTTTGGTATGATGATAGCTGGTTATCTGAGTCAACATATAGGATACTTTTTACTGCAGGAAAATATCTCATCTCTGAGAAATCTATAGTAAATATTAAAACGTAAGTATGGACGAACCCGAGCGGAGCGACGGTGACTCGCTAGTGCTAGTATAAATGAATTAAGGTAACTCACCTATGAAACCTAGCAATAACAAAGTCATTATTACTATTAATAAAGAAAGTTCTTTAAAAATACTCATATTTTCTAACAAGCTATTAAAATTTCAAATCAAACAACAAAAATAACCCTACGTTGAAAGACACAATTACTTTACCTTCAAGCCTAGCGTAAATTTGAAGTTGAAAACTTGCTCTTTATAGAACAACCCGAAAGCTCGCGGCCAAAAGTTTTTCTTTACCTTACAAAGTGGAAACAGTAACCATCGTTCTTATAAACTCCAGTTTAATTAAAATCAGCCTTTGATGTGGCATTTTTGCGGCATCGTCTATAGTAAATTTAACCCTTTCTTAAGAAAATTAATTGACTTTTTGTTGGTATTGTGCATTGTGATCGGAGATTGCTATTTTTGTAGGAATGACCTTTTGAAGTAGTTAGGGCTTCTTCGATATTACGCTTCGAAGTGCTCTATTTTGAATATTATTGCACTGTCTTTAAAATAAGGCTAATATAATTCCATTGATAACAACTGAAGCGAGTTTAAGCTCTGGGTCTCGTAAATACATTTAGCATTATTAATATTGCATAATTACGGTGAAACAAAAGATTCTGAAGAAACGATTGCGTATATGACATAACTAAATTAAATAAAACTATCTTTACGGATTATTTCGCGGATTTATTTTGATTTTTGGTTTGGTTTGGTTGGGGAACCAAAAATCTAAATAAATCCGCGAAATAATCCGAAAAGATAGTTTTATTTAAAATGTCAAATATTCGCGTAAATCTAAGAAAGTATTATAACTAAATTAGTTCTAAAGACGTTTAAAGTGCAGATTTTGTCAGTTTTGTAGGTTGTGGTTAGCCTTCTCCGCACATTGAGGAGATGTTCGTTCCCACAAATTGGTCGTTAATAAAGAGCTGTAAATTATAACTATCTTATCTTTTCCCAACTTCAATATTTCTAATCTTTGATATAAAAATATATAGAAATATAAATACATTGTTACGTTCGAATTTTCCAATTTTCCGTAAAAACATTCTCGAGCACTACTTTATACATTAAATACTACAGCCGTTATCAAGTGATAACTACTCTAACCAACAACATTTCATTTTTACTATATAGATTAAATGGCTGGGCAGTTATTTAACAATACTTGGTTATTCAATACTTATAATGATTTTAAATAAAGCTATCTTTTCGGATTTTTTTTGCGGATTTATTAATAAATATATAATA